TTCTTCAGAGAAAATAATTACTTTTCTATTATTTATGTTTTAGGTTCAACATTTATTGGATTTAAGAATGTTTGTTCAGGAGAAATTAATGTGATATTCATTACTAACCCTTTAAATGAGGATTTACAGCACCCAATCCATGTGAAGAATATACAACTGGTCGATACTACTGAACAATCAAAAATATTTATACATAGGCCTGATATAAGGTAAAATGTATAAAAACTCAGTTTTTCTTTTCTTTCTTTATAGTTTTCCATTCTCCTTTCTCCCTGCTAAGGGTCTGAGGAAGTTACTATATTAAAGTAACTGCTAAATTTCTATAAAACTTTTATCAACATTATGAAAATTAAGGCCATTTGATAATGTAAATCTAAGTGTTCTCAGCTGAATTTTAAAAACTGGGCTTTAATATGTATATTTTCTCCCACTGCCTTGATGTGTATGTGTGTGTGTGAATGTGTGTTTGTGTGTATCATCAGTAATATCATCGTTAAATATAAAAGTTACAGATGGGGTCTGAAGTGTGTTCTACATTAATATCTCTCCATGTACAAGAGCCACCTGTGGTGGCACAAACCTCTAGTCCCAGATACTCAGGAGGTTGAGGTGGGAGGATCGCTGCTTAAGCCCAGGATTTCGAGGCTAGCCTGGACAATATAATGAGATTCTGTCTCTAAAAATAAAAAAGCTTTTTAAGGTTTAAAAATCTCTCCATTAATAGTCATAAAGGATAAGAAACACCTCTATCATTTCTTCCTATTTTTTTAACCTGTTGCTTTCCAAATATTCTATTACAGGCACTCCAAAATGTGCTTGGAAATTAAATGTCAGCCATTATAGTCACTGTGACTGTATATATACAGAAACTTAGAAAAGTGATTTTTCTGATCACGAAGGTCAGTTGGTATCAGGATATTTCCAGAAGCTGGTCACTTAGATTCTAAGTCATAGAAAAATATAGCAAATAACTGCTACTTTTTATAAGAGGTACAGACCAGGAATTTAGATATAAGGCGATACTGGAGGAAAGAAAATTTCTATTAGTGGTTTTTGACTGTTTTTAGTTTAGGGGAGAAGAAAAAGAATAATGCTCTGCAATTAAACAGGCATCTCCTCAGAGAAATGCATTATTTCATAGATAGTTTGACTTCAATTGATTTTGTTTTGATGACAGCCCAACACTTACTCATTTAATCATAGTTGAACATCAGTGTTTTAGCTCCTGTTTAGTTGCCATTGAATCTTTCAGATGTAATATATAATTTTAATATCTAAGTCATGAAGAAAATGTTGCATTTTCAAATATAATTTCTCTGAGTTCTGTGCCTGTAGTGGGTGCTGTTGGTGCCCTCCCAGATCTTCTGTACTTGGCAGTGCACCCAGCCCCCATATGCTCTTCATGCTGGCTGATAACAGAACTTTTCCACAACTTTGCTCTTAGCCAAATAGGACTAGCCTTTGGAGTTGAAAGCC